CCGCTGTCACGCACCGAGCGGGGGGGATGCGTGCGGGGGGGTGGGTGGTAGTTCTTGCTTTCTGTGTTCCAAGTGCGTGGATTTAAATGAGTCGTGCTGTTGTCGACGTCTCTTTGGCGTCCTGTTCTGATGTACACGCGTGTGTAACAGGTATCGTTACGCAGGAGGAAAGCAAATGGATGTCCTGCCAGATTCAGCACCCCTGGCTACGAAACTGCGGAACACCCTGGTTCAGTACCACAGCATCGCAGACAGCGAATGGCGGGTCGCGAAGAAAACCGTGAGTGGTCTGGGCAGCTCGGTGCCTGCGGCCCGATTTGTTCCCTCGAGGAAGCTGCAGGTCACTTGGCGGGGGGGCGGGGGGAAGAGCTTATTATGCCGTGTGTAAGGAGTGTGAAACATTGGGCAAATTCTTGCAGGGCTTTCAGAAGAGAGGCCCTGTGAGACCACCCTTCTAGGATAGCACAGCTTTAGATGACAGAATGCGTTTTTCCTGTCTACAGACATTCTCTGTCATTCGTTCTACCCATTTTCAGGGAAGCGTCTGACAGAAGAATCCTACCTGTGCAGGACTATAGGCTTTTCTTAAAGCAAAATTTGAAATGCTGTTAGCACTGTCAGTGTTGCAAGATGCGCACTTGTACTTTCTAACAAACCAACCACAGCCTGCAGGTAGGCTCTGCCGGCCTCTGGAATCTCTTTTGTCTATAATGCTTGAACCCATCACGCTTCACCTTCCAAGTGTCTCCCTCTTAAAAAGTGAGATCATTCTCAATTCTTTCTCTCATGTTGCTTCATGTTTCCATTGCCTTCAGAGCCCCCACATTATCAGAAGTTTCCTTCCATGACAGAGAATGCCGTTCTCTAATGTGTGAGCAGACATTGGTAAGAGAGGGTCAAGTGTTCCAGATGTAACTTGATTATTTGCAGAATTAACAAATTCACTGTCTTGAAAGGGAGGAACAGAGCATCCAAGCCTCTCACTCTTGCAAAACACCGCTCTGCTAAATGCTAAGTCTTATACCTACACCATTATTTTCCTTCAGGAAGTTACACACATCTCACTGTTTCAGATCACGTTACTCCCCAGATTTTACCCCTGTAAAATTTCCAGTTGGACTTCCTTCCTTCCTTGTGTTTTGGTACTGTGCCATGAAAAAGAAATTCAGAGCTTTAGCTACCTGCCAGGGAAGTGTGTTTTGCCCCTAAGTATCCTCAACAGTTCTGGAGGCAGAACTTATAACTACTGTTCTTCAGGACATTTGGTCCTTTGTGCTTACATGATGATGATTCCAAATAAAAAGGTCCCGTATGGTATTCTCTTTAACACCGAAATTCAGATATTTTGTACAGAGGTTCCATTTTACAGCTAGATAAAAATCGGAAGATACTGTTTTCTTTATTTTCTCTGGCTAACTTTAAAATAAATAGACTACTGCTTGCAAGACACTTCTAGTCAGGCTTCTAGGAGAGGAGGACGACTTAAGCTTTCTTGTCTGCCAGTGTCAGCACCTCCTGCACACATCTGCTTGGTCATGTGTTACAGAAGTTGTATGGTCTTCCTGTCTAAATAGTGGCCAGATAATGGTTTTCCAGTTGCCTTTTAATTGAAAGGCTTTACCTAGTTATGTGGTTCCATTATTCTATGTGCTTTCCTAGTAAACTGGCTTAGCCTGCCAAGCCCTATTTCTGCAGAGACTTCTAGCATTTGACACTGAGAAAGGCAATTGACTGATTTTTTGAGCGAATGGAAGATTACAAGCAAAAGATGTCTGAAACATCTGCTTATCTTCTTAAGAAAAGTGTACAAAAGTGCCCAGGTCAGTGAGCACTTTGGGGTGAACCATAGTTAATGGTAAAGTCTTTTGCTTTCCTTCAGAAAAATTGAGGCATTTTCTGGACATCTTAGAATTCTATGTAAGTGACAATTAACATCATATCTTCCATTTTCTTTCAGAAGGATGCAACTGTGTGGCGTAAACCATCAGAGGAATTCTGTGGATATCTGTAAGTTTGCCTGCAGAGCAGGTACAATTTTAAGGTTCCACAAATGTGTTTTGTAGAATTTAGAAATTAAGGGCATGGATTCTACAGCATTCTGCTACACAGATTCTCCACAGGAGAAACTAAGTGGATCATCTGGGGTGCCTGTACATTTCTTTTTAGTATTATACTTTGATGCTTTAGTGTTGCATGGTGTCTAGAACAACGAACAATGAAAACTGTGGAACACACCACAAAACTCCCATTGGCTGAAGTGGGCAACAACATATACCCAGACCTTTTAGAAGGATGGTCTGCAAACCACAGAATCAAGTCCAGGTTCAGTAGGTCTGAAGTGTCAGTCCTTGGACTGTCACAGTGACTATACAACTACAATAGAGTAAAATATCAAGCATGTAGTTGTGGGAAAGATGTGTGACATAAAAGCCCTTCCTGTGTGATTTTCTGTCACTGGGTTCTGTCGATATCTGTAGGTTTAGGTAGAGAAATAGTTACTAAAAACAGCACTCTAAAGAAAGGAAAAGTCATGTGAAAAAGTAGTGTTTGAAAGTATCTCAAAGACTGATATGCTCTGTGGAATTTAAATCTTGTTAAATCTGCAAGAGCTGATGACCCCAGACACCAAGAGTCTGTACTGGGCCACAAGCACACTGGCATCAACAACAGGTGTAGCTTGAACCACCGCCAAGAGGGCAGTGGCTGCTATGTGCAGATGAAGACATCAGGGTTGTGTATACACCTGGTGTAATAAAGGACACTTGGAAGAACTTTACAAACACCTACCTAGAAGCCACTGGCATGTTCATGTCGTCCTCCAGTTCTGACTATACAGCTGAGATTGGCTCCAACCAGGTAACTGTGAGTGAATATGGGTGAACTGCGCAAGTGAATAGGTGAATGTGTTGCTTGACTAGTTACCTACTATTAATAAGAACAGCTTAATGAATAAGAATTATTTTGAAAATAATGGTTCTGATGGATTCTTCCCCTTCAGGAGCTGGAGGCTCAGTAACTCAAGTAAACAAAGTCTCTGGTGTCTACTAAAAATATCTGATAACAAGTGAATGTTCTGTAATGTCTTATACCAGATTATTTTATTTGGTACTCTAATACGCCACCAAAGCATAACATAGTTTCTCATTAGCTTGGTCCTACTACTGTTACTTCTACTTTATGAAAAATGTTTTTCCCATTGTATCCCTGCTTTCCTTTCTTTTTGCTTTTAGCTTTACTTGTCCCTGGTGGACTCCCTTGCTCCCCCAGCAAGAGCAGCAAAATACCAAGTTGTTAGAGAAATAAACATGATGAATTTTATCAGAGGAAAGAGTTTGCTGTTTACAAAATACTAATATTTTTATCTGAGGAAAGAGTTTGCTGTTTACAAAATACTAATTGCAGCATAAGGACAAAGCTTCTCAGAATAACATTTACTGCAGAGGAGAATAGGTGCACCCATAGGTCTTTTTCTGTACTGTCTTTCTGATACAATTGTCCACTGACCATAACTCCAGGTACCAAGGTATTACAGTAAGTGTGCTGTTGCAAATTAAAGGAATATTTATAAAGAATTTCTCACTTTTAAATGTAAGCATATGTTTCTCTAGCTACAAAGCTCAAGGAGTGGTGGAAGATGTTACTAACAGAATAGTGGATCATATTCGCCCTGGACCTTATAGGCTAGACTGGGACAGCTTGATGACTACAATGGACATCATGGAAACTTTTGAAGAGGTGAAGACCTGTTTAGATTCTTAAGGGAAATGTGTATAGATGCATACGTGGATTTAACAGTACAGCAGAGCAGTCGTTCCAACAAATACTAACATTTTTCCGCCTGTTTTCTGCATGCACATGCAATATTGTGCATACATGCTGTGGGCAACCTCAGATAAGGCTTTCTGGCTGCACAGTCCTATTCTGAAGCTTGAAGTTCAGCTTTCCATCAATGCTAAAAATAAAGGAGTAAAACTTGGTTGGCCACGATTCTCTCGGACCTGGGAGCTCTGGTAGCCTCTGATAAAATTCACATATAGAGAGCTACAGTATAATATTTTATATGCCAAAGCCTTCCTTTGGTTACTGGGGACATTCAGTATGACTCCAAAACCCCGTTGACGTCTGACTTAAACATGGATTGTCTTTTGCTCTGGCTGTTAAAGATGATTTATATGGCAAGGTATTTTTGCTAATTATTCCCTAAAACTTATACAAACTTGGTGCTATGATGCTATGATGCTTCTTATAAGAAAGCGTTTTTTGAAGACTTGTTTGCATTCTGGTTTATTGTTCACTTGGTGGATTAAAAGTACTTGACAGAGCATCTTAGTCCTGAGAGAGGCCTCTTGCAATTTATTCATGGTCCTTTCAGACTTGCTAAGTAGCGGTTAAGCCACATAAAAACCACATGGCTTTCAGTTCCCAGGCATGACAGAGTTCTGTAGCTTTAGTCAGTGTGGTTTAAAGGTGCCAGATATTCTCAGCTGCTGCAGCTCTCAGTTGCAGACTGCACGTCCTTACAAACTTCCAGCATTTAGACTGAAAACAACACAGCCATTCAGACCTCACTGAAGTTATTTGAACAGTGTGGTTGACAGAGGCTGCAACCTTCGTGGAAAAGGCTAGCTGCCTACAAGCATAAATTTCCCTGTATTCATTATACTAAGGTATTTTTGGTTTTTACCCTCCTCATTCTGTCACTCAACAAGAACTGCTGTGTGATGCGCTACACCACTGCTGGCCAGCTCTGGAACATCATAGCACCAAGGGAGTTTGTGGATTTCTCTTACACTACAAGCTATGAAGATGGGCTTCTAACATGTGGTAAGGCACCACTTAACCTCTGCTTAATTCTTATTTTGCAACAGCTGCTTGGCTTAAGATTTGATTCAAATTAAGTTTAGTTCTGCAGTAAGCATTAAAAAATGGTGTAAGATGGTCTCCAACAAGTATTTCAAAGGTATTTTAACATTTTACAGATTTAAAGAAGTATACAAGTTACTGGTTTACCCATGAGCCGTCCCTGTGTGCCAAGTTTCATTTATGCCAGCTGTGGCACAGGAGTGGTAGAGACAAGTTGTGAGGCTCTGACTCAGCTCTTACAGCAAACTGGGTGGAGTAACAGCTTGGTATTAAATAGGAGAAAAGTCTTTTTAATGTCAGAATTTCTGCTTATCAAGTTCTGCTTGTCTGTCACGGAGTTTGGATGAAGAGCAGACAACTTTCATGCATGAAAGTACCCAGAAACTTGGAGTGTGTCTGTCACTTCTACTAAATTCCCCAAGCAGAAACATGTAGATTTTAAATTTACTGTACCTTTATTTTCTATTTGTCTCAAATTAATTTCCCTTTTTTTGTTTGTTTTCCTTGATAGGTATAAGCCTAGACTATGGAGAGGTGAGACCTAACTTTGTCCGTGGATTCAATCACCCTTGCGGTTGGTTCTGCGTCCCTCTCAAGGACTATCCTAGCCACAGCCTTTTGACAGGCTATATTCAGACTGAACTGCGAGGGATGCTACCACAATCTGCAGTAGACACTGCCATGTCTAGTACCCTGGCCAATTTCTACTCTGACCTCAAAAAGGCACTGAAAACATAGACAAACAGTGACTTAAAAGCCCATGCGTTTCTTGCAATCAAACTATATTGTTTAGCTTAGCATAGGTTAGCTACTGAGTTAAGAGGTGAGTAACATTGTTCGTGAATGATACCTGAACCTTTATGTAGAGGGATCCAAACAACTTTACCAAGTACTTTTTGATGTGATACTTAGCACACATTCCTAATTCACAGCGCGAGATTCTGTTTCCTGCTCAGCACTCTGCAGCTGTGTAAGGAGTAGTCTGAATCTGTAAACCTCTGGTTTCATAGGTAGAAAACACAAGGTGTGTGGGGGGACTTGAAAAATGCAGCATGAACTCAGCTCTCACCAACAGTATTGAGAGTGGAGTGCTCAGGATTTTGCGGGTGCAGGTCGCTGTACAGGCAGGATCTCACTGAAGATGTGATTTTGTAATATATATATTTTTATATTTACTTAAAATATTTGATTTATGTAGTTTGTACGGGTGCATCTGTAATTTGTTTTAAAAGATTTGCTTTGATCTATCGTAGGGTTTACATAGCTAAGTTGTTAAATGATACTATTCATAAGAAAGCTATTCGCTCTTGTTAGTAAAAATAAGTATTCATTATTGGCATTTCTTTGATGTTGTAACTGTAACTTAATTAACTGTTATATATAACAGTCTCAGTGCATAGATAAAGATTTTTGATTTGTAGTTTGTACGGGTGCATCTGTAATTTGTTTTAAAAGATTTGCTTTGATCTATCGTAGGGTTTACATAGCTAAGTTGTTAAATGATACTATTCATAAGAAAGCTATTCGCTCTTGTTAGTAAAAATAAGTATTCATTATTGGCATTTCTTTGATGTTGTAACTGTAACTTAATTAACTGTTATATATAACAGTCTCAGTGCATAGATAAAGAAATGCCCTTACAGCTGATTTAAAAGATTTGCTTTGATCTATCGTAGGGTTTACATAGCTAAGTTGTTAAATGATACTATTCATAAGAAAGCTATTCGCTCTTGTTAGTAAAAATAAGTATTCATTATTGGCATTTCTTTGATGTTGTAACTGTAACTTAATTAACTGTTATATATAACAGTCTCAGTGCATAGATAAAGAAATGCCCTTACAGCTGATCCAAAGCTCATTTAAGTCATCAGGTGTCTTTCCATAGTTTTTACTGGGCTTTTAATCACACAGTTGTCAAAATAGCAAAATTCCATTGGATCTTCTGTGATACTCTGCACTTCTAAAGAATTTTTTACTTAAATTTGCATGTAATTGTGTGTGGGGTTTTTTTGTGTCTTCCTTAACTGAAAAACCTGGAATTACTAAAGCGACAGAAAGGACCACTATATGGTATAGGTATAGGCATTGGTGTAGCCCCAACAGCACAGACTGCCAGCATGCTGGTACAGCACACTGGAGTGTTCTGTGGTAATACCCCTAGATTGATCTTTGCAATAAATGAAGTGAGCATCTTAAAACATGAGCAACTGAAGGCCAGAGCTCAAGCTGCAGAGTTGCTCAGATCTGCTGGAGGATGGAGGGTCAGATATTTAAGGATATTTAGCCAACCAGTGATGCTGATAGGTACATAGCAGGGACTTTCAAAAGATTACTGTCTGTGCTGTTAGGAACCTGAATTCTGTTTAAAACCTGACATTAAGCTTTTAATGTTGGCATGCATCATTTGCTCAGGTGAGATTGTAATCATCCCTATGCTTTACCAGTGCTAGTAGAGGCAAGTTTAGCTGCATAGTAAATAGGGAAAGTACCTCGGAGCCCTAATATTTTAGGGCCATTTCTATGCATACAATCCAAGGACTGATAATGGACTCCTAGGAAAAAAAAATTCAGATGAAAATTGTTCCCCTGCAATATTGGCTCTTTGGACACTGGCCACTGTAGCTGAACTCTGAACAGTGAGGACTTTTCTTTCTCATTGCTCAAGTGGAGAGGTAGAAGAAACATAACACCAAGTATAGAGAGGGCTCTCCCAACATGCTTCGTGTATTAAGGCATTTAGTACTGTTTAATGGCATCAAACAGCCTTTGGTGTCTTCATAGGCAGAAAATGTCAACTCCCTGTTCAGTTTTGTGTATTCTGCAGTTCCCTTTAAACACCATGGGTACTCTTCCCATCTTTTCTATCTTCCTTGTTTCCCCTGCAGTGCTGGAAGTTCACAAGGTGATCTTGCACCACCACAAGGACACTAAGGAATCGGTGTCAGCAGACACACTTTTTCCTAAATGCTAGGGTCCACTCCTTTCTAGTACTGGTACAGAGGCAAGTATGAAAGCCCTAGCAATACTGCTGTGTGGGATGAAAGCTGACATGATTATAGAGGAAACTGTGTGAAACGTACCCTCTTTATTCTTCCCAGTTATAAAGACTTCATGTATAGTGAATCTGCATATTCATGTCTTCTTTTTTTTAAAACTGCTGCGACTGACTAATTGAGGGATTGTGATACAGATGTATATAGAGAAAAATATTCCATTGCTCTGTAAAAAGCCCAGTTTAAATCTACACAGAGGCACTTCAGTGCTGGAGAAACGGGTCAGAAGGAGCACAAGACACTTAGAGGATGATGTTTGTGCAACACTAGGCGCTGCAGAAAAGATTAAGAGGTCTCTGTTCCAAACTCCTGTTAAAAGGGCTCTAACACCCCTAGAGTACCTACCCTTATTTAGCTTTGAGTGAAACAGCTTTTTATGCTTTCAGTGAAGATAGGCTGATGAAGCACAGAGCAGTTGAAGAAAGAAGACTTAGGTTTAAATGGAAGAAAATTCCTAGTGTGTTTTAAGTATGATGATGTTTTTTATAAAAATTTCTCCATGCAGGTTTCCTTTTTGTCAACAGAGTTGTTTTCAGTAGCAGGCCTAGAGATGGGAATATTTTGTGAATGAGAATAAAGTTTCTGAAAGCAAAGTAGTTCTTCTATTTTGCATTATAGTAATTTATTCTTTAAACACTGATTAAACTGGCTTTGTGTGTTTTAACAGATGAAGTCTATTGCTTCTGCCAATGAGTCTGAACATTCAAGTGAGTAACAGAGTAGTGACTACCAGAGACAGAGAACGGAGTCAGATTTAAATTTTTTTTTTAATCAATGAAAGAGCATAGTACAATTCTCCAGTTTTCAGATGAGGAGAAATCACAGAAGGTAGTAACGAATTTGAAGGATTTATAATGGGAAATCTCACACTTCTAAAAACGCTTCTGATTTAGGAGTGCAATGATTGACAATGTATGCTGATTATGCTGCTGAAGCAATGCATAGCTGATACTCCTACAGTCATTGTTCCAAGCGGTTCATCTGTAGAGTAATACAGAACTAGAAGAAAGATGTCCCGTTTCCTAGTGTGTTGTATTTATTTGAAACCAAAACTTACTTTCTTTTTATACAGCTAAGGATTGAGAGGGGTGTTAGATCTTGAATCAGACCTGTTCTTTAACCAGACTACATTCAGAACCAAGAAAGCCACAAAATCAAGTACTCATCTGACCAGAACCTCTTTTCCCACTATGGCATTTTTTTCCTCCTAAGTCAGTGGACAATCTAGGTGAAGCCAAGACAGTACTAACAGGAAAGTAGTTGAAAGGACAAAGTGCAGGAGCCCATGTTTGGCTTGTTAGAAGGTAGTGGGAGACAAAGTAAATTCCCTGGTATAGATTTCTGTCATCCTCACAGCACCAGAATTTCTGCAAGTTTGTGAGGTTTGTCAGTGCTTGAGTTTAAGAGTGTTTCAGTTAAGCTGGAATACAGTTATCTGAAAGTAACTTCTGAATGAGGTGCCCAAGAATAGCAGAGACCAGTTTTTGCTAGGGAAATGGCATATAAATAGGCACATCAAAATTATTTTTATATGACTAGTATTTTTTTTTTAAAAACTTACTTTTTCAGGGATTTAGGCAATATGACAGTCTAATCTTTGGCACTTTAACTACGTGCTCTGTGTGTGGATGGGAAAGGTGGCTAAAGAAGAAAATTTTCATATTTGGCTTCTGTTCTTCATCTAAAACCTCAGCATTGACCTTGCCTGTAGCTGTGCTCCTTATTTTACATATGCAGAAGGTAGAGATCGGGCTAAGTTCAATTTGGGGGCAGTCCAAGGTACTCTACCACAGCGTGCTGGGAGGTGGACCAGTACTTCAGATAGATGCTCTGGGAACAGCGCAAGCCCTGATCTCAACTTTCATTAATTTATAAACGTGAAACATGATGAATTTGTAAGACGCGAAAAGAGTGTATAATTCCTCCAGTAATTATAAATAACCAGAACTATTTTGATGGTGTGAGCTGGTGATTCAACCTAGAAGATTCATTGCTGTAAAAGTAGCCATAGTTCTATTGAAACCTGTCAAGTCGTGCCTATGTTCAGAAAGTCAGTCTATCTTAACAGTGGTTTTAACTGACTGTGTTCAGCACTTAAGAGAATTGTATTTATATTTTGTATGCAATTACAGAATAAATTAAAACATGGATTCCAACAGACTCATGATGTAGCTTTTTCAATACTTGTGCAGGCAGATGTAGCATTCAGTTATTTTTGGGGGAGTTATGTCTGATGACATAGTTAATCTTCAGCTGCATGGTGATCTCTAATGCCATCAATTTGTCTACTTAAATTTAAAAGCCAAAAAGCCTGTCTTTACTTGGAAACTTGATTTAGGCCTAGGAAGATGCACAACTCAGATTTCTGCTAAATTGAAGTCTATTGAAAACAGTACAAATAGGGTTTTCTCAAAGCTTAAATTCTAAAAAGATATATTTTTTTTGTAATTAACCCATGATTGCTGTGGAAGAACTTTATTAGTTTTATCTTAGTATTACTTACCTTTTAGCATGTTTAAGAAATGGTTTATTAACCATCAAAATTAAGTTAATCCGAAACACATGAGCATATAGCACCTTTCAAAAGGCATATAGATGTACATTAGGGTTATAAAGCATGCTGCAGCATGTTTTTTGACGTGTATTTAATTAGCACCTACAGAAACAAGGGAAGAAAATGCCTGTATCTTATGTAGAACCTTTCCTTGTTTCTCTCACTAAGCCTGCATAGAGGCAGGAGAGTTCTGTAACATCCTTCAGAGCAAGGAGCTGCAGCCCTCTTCTGTTGCTTTTCTATGGAACTGTGACTTCTGAGATACAGCACACTCTTGTGGGGCATGTATGATGTCACCCTCTGCAAAGTGGGGTAAAAACAGGTACAGAGGCCACTTCAGATCTTCAGAAAATGATTAAGGACATTAATTAGAATTATTAAGAAAAATTGTGATGTTTAAACCCATTTCCTGGTGAGAGAAAATATGAAGATGGGAGAGATTAATAATAAAATCAATGTTAAAGATTAAGTGTTTTCTAGGAAAGAATATATCCTGAAGTCCTAGACCATAATTTAAACTTTGCAATATATTCTGCCTTTTCCAGTCCCCACTGAGCTGTGCTGGTGACTCAGTTTTACAGTACGGGTAGGGACTGATTACTGTGGGGTTAACCTTCCTCGGGATTGTGCCACTAGCAGGGAGAAAACAGGCACAGATGATGACAACACATGACAGGAGATGTCTGTGCACATTTCACAGCTGACCCACACAATAAGAGATGTCACATATCCTTGCTTGGGCATCTGGGTTAAGGTGTCCCAAATCCCAACACGTTATCCA